TTCCAGCTGCTATCTTCCTGTGACTTACTTCTAGTTTAATTCTATCAAGGATCACCCCTCATTTATTTGGAGTAAGTCCCCTTGCTCTGAAGTCTGCTTTGTTTGAAATTAGTTGAGCTGTTCCAGTTGATTAGTTACCAATAGTTTTCTCTATATTTAAACTGAAAATTAAAAAAAAAAAACACTTGTTTTTTGCACCACACCCATCTGTGCTCAGGGATTACTTCTGGTGTGACTCAGGGGACCATTATGTGGTGCTGGGGATTGAATTCAGGTTGGCTGTGTGTAAGGTAAGTACCTTGCCTGCTGTAGTGTCTCTCCAGGCCCTAAACTGGGTTTCTCACAGGCTACATACATGATAGTTGCTTTCCCCCCCCCCCCTTCTTTTTGGGTCACACTCAGCAATGCTCAGGGGTTATTCTTGGCTCTGCACTCAGAAATTTCTGGGGACCATATGGGATGCCAGGGATTGAACCCAGGTCAGACACATGTAAGGCAAATGTCCTACAAGCTGTACTATTGCTCTGGACCCTGGGTCTTTTATTTTTTCTTTTTTCAATCTACTGGCAATCTTTATCTTATAATTCGATCACTGACATGAATTACTGATGTTAACTTCACACTTTTCAGTATTTTTATTTTGGAGTCACACACAACAGTTCTCAGGGCTAACTTCTGGCACTGAGCTCAGGGGGGTCATTCCTGGTGGTGCTTTGGGGGACCATATGTGATGCCAGGGATGAAACCAGAGATGGCTATGTGCCACAGAAGTACTCTAACTCCTGTACTATCTCTCCAGTTCCCAACTTTGGGTAAAGTTGGGATGAAAGGTAAAAATACTGAAAGAAAGGCAACTGTGAGTTTTGAATTTTGAGCAAAGAGGTAAATTGTAGTGGACCTTTTAGTGTTTATTTTGGGAAAAGAAATTTTGTGGGTATTAATGTTGGTTTTCCTTGCAGAAGCAAAAACAAGTCATCCTCCTTTTCATCACTGCTTGCTCTCTAAAAATGGGAAGGATGATTTGAATTTGGGCTGTCACTGTCCTCCCGTTGTTCATCAATTTGCTCGAGCTGGCCCAGTAACATTGTGAGACGTTACTGTGTTTGGCATATCGAATATGTCACGGGTAGCTTGCCAGGCTTTGCTGTGCGGGTGAGGCACTCTAGGTAGCTTGCCGGGCTCTCCGAGAGGGGCAGAGAACTCGGGTAGGCCATGTTGACTATGTGCAAGGCAAACGCCCTACCTGCTATTGCTCACAATGGTAAAATTTTATAATAAGAGAAATCTAGAAATAAATCCTACCTTTGTTACCAACTGTGCTACATTTGGCAAATTGCTTTCATTTTTAAAAAATGAAGTCCAAAGGCCTAGAGAGACAGCTCAATGGGCTAAATGCATGCTTTGCAGTGGGAGGTCAGGCTTCAAGTTCTGGTACCACATACTGTCCTGAAGAGGCAGGAATGGCCCTCAGGCACTGCTGGCTGTGGCCCCCAAACAAAAATGGATTATCCAATACTGTATGTGAAAAAACATCCCATGCATCGCTCAGAGGTCGTGGGCATGCTCTTCTTGTGAGGTCCTGGTCCACTCCCCAACACCACAAAACAAGAAAAAGCATCTGGCTCACAGGGGATGCTGGTAGGAAAGGGACTTAAAACCAAAACCAAAGGGCTTTGTTTCCCAAGGCTGTTCTTCCCTTCAACCAAGAGGGTGGGAAGGGAGGTGCAGGTGTTACTTTAGCCTCAAACATTTTTGTTACCTTCTGGCTCAAATATAATTTGGGAAAATGCAGTTTAGAGTACACTGTACTTAGAAAAGCTTTTCTATGAAGGCAAAGCAGAGGAACTCCTAGCAATGACCTACAGGTACTGACCCTATTTCTGTCAATCCCAGCAGCATTGACACTTCATGAATCAAGCCTTATGACCCCAGCCTTTGTTTTTTTGATCTCAACCTTAAAAGGCACACCTGCAGGGCGTGGGAAGTGGCTCAGAGGTTTGAAATTTCACTTTCTGCTACTATGAAGGAGCTCCTTTGGATGCTTTTGGTGCCAAAACCCAGTATTTTAATTGACATATCCTATGATTGAGACTCAAAAGGCCAGCCTGTGAGTTCCCATTTGACCAAATCCAAATCATCCTTCCCAACCTAGACTTCGAGGCTGCAAGTTCAAATCTCTGTATGGCTGCAGGTGCCAAGGTAATCTTTCAGCCTGAGTGAAATCCCCTTGTGAGAAAGAGAAAAATGTGGCAAGGATGTAGCCCAGGGGGAGAGAGCTTGCCTTGCACGTGTGAGGCCCTGCTGAGTAAGAAAACCCATGTTCTATAAGAGGGGCCGTGTCTATCTTGCTCAGTTCCCAGTGCCTACAGAAAGGCAGTCCAATATAAATGGGGCACTGCTGAGGGGAAAAGCAGGGATACTGCCAGTTTCTGTATCTGCAATGGAGCAATACACCAGTGCCACGGAACCATCAGAGTCGAATGACACCAACACAACGGGTTGGGGTGGTGAGGATATGATAAAAAGTACATGGATGTGCTAATATCTGTGCTAATACACACTGAAACAAATGAATTCCTTTCTCTTGCTGGAAAAAAATTTTAAACTTGACATTCATAATCTAAATAGGAACGTGTTCAATACTTTTCTGAACTGTATGACTGAAACCTAATTATGAACAGCTTTGTAAGGGTCTATCTCACAGTGATTCAATAAAAATAACCTTTTTTTGCTTTTTCTTTTTGGGTCACACTCAGCAATGCTCTGGGGTTACTCCTGGCTCTGCACTCAGGAGTTACTCCTGGCAGTGCTCGGAAGACCATATGGGATGCCAGGGATCAAATCCAGGTTGGCCACATAAAAGGCAAACACCCTCCCTACAGGACTATCACCTCTCTGGCCCCCTCAATAAAAAAAAAAAGAAAAATCTTAAACAAACTAAAAACAAATGAGGTGGTGGAGATAGATAAGATTTATATATGGAGATAAATATTTTCTGGAAAAAAAAATGAGGCTAGGATGTGGCTCAGTACATACAGTAAAGTACATGCCTTGCATGTGTAAGGCCTGGTACCAAAAAACCAATTTTTCTAGAAAAAAACAATAGACTACAGATCTCTTTTATATACATGGGCTTTCAGTACTAGGATACTTAAACATGAGACGTACCAAATTCATTAGGCTGAATTAATGTGCCTCACATATGAAAGTAGTCCTTGTATTTACTCCGAACTCTGTGCTCCTGGTGGTACTCCGGGGACCATAAGTGGTACCAGGATTGAACCTGGGTCGACTACTTATATAGCAAACATCTGACACTGCACTCTCTCTCTGGCTCCCAGATCTTTAATATTTAGTGTTAAACGAATTGGTTAAAGGTGAATTAAGGAGGAAAACATGAGGGGATGGACAGAGCTCACCCTGGTTTAATCCCCAGCACCCAGTTTGGTCCCCCGAGCCCGCCAAGAGTGTGGCCCCAAAACAAAACAATCTGAACTTCTGTGTAAAAAGAGGACATCTCAAAGAGGGCCAGACAGCTGGAGTATATACTCTGCTCCTGGCACTCTTGGGTTTGGTTGCCAGCACTGCACGGCTGAGACCACTGTGGGTGGGAGTTTTTCTCTACCCCGAAGAAACATCCCTATCCTTGTCATTGGTGCCCAGAGAGTTGAGGCAGTGGGGAATGGGTCAAAATAAAAGGCGGGAATACTCTAGGAGTCTTTGCTCCACTTGGTGGCCCTGCCTGTCTGACCCTGAAATTCCATGTTTCCCCAAATGAACTCACCTTTATCCTCTCCATTCCTCAGAAATGCTTTTATCATCTCATTGCTCTTGGGCAGCTCCCTCCCTCCAGCCCTTGCTGGTCTTTCCTGCTCCTTTCTGTTAAACGAACTGGCTAAAGGTGAATTAAGAAGGAAAACACGAGGGGATGGACAGAGCTCACCCGGGTTTAATCCCCAGCCAGCGTGTTCCCTGTTATTGGCTTCCCTGCACTCAGCACTGGGCACTACTGGAGTGCCCCCTGCAAGCAGTGCTCCAGGACCCACGCCCTCCTTGCTCTTCGAGGATGCTCTCAATGCGCTCCAGTCCAAATTCCACCTTGCTTTCTTCTTTCATTTGTCGTGGCCACCCTTTAGGTTCTACAGGCACACTGCCCTGTCCCCCCAGCGTCATTGCTTCCTGATTTCTGATTGGACCAAATTCTAAGGTATGCTACTGCAGATGCACAGCTGAAGTTCAGAGAACAAAATAATTTGTTTATTAAAAAATTCACTGGGTAATGCACTGTGTTCCCAGACAGATTCATTTCTATTCAGTTTGGCCACAACCTGCAATTTTCCTTCCTTCCTTCCTTCCTTCCTTCCTTCCTTCCTTCCTTCCTTCCTTCCTTCCTTCCTTCCTTCTTTCCTTCTTTTTGGGGCCATACCAGGCTGTGCTTAAGGCTTACTCCTGGCTCAGCATTCAGGGATCAGTCCTGGAAGGGGCTTGGTAACCATATGTGGCACCAAGGATGGAACGCAGGTCAACTGCATGCAAGATCACTCAGGCCCTCATACCTGCAGGGCATTCGCTGTATGTACTGCTGAGCTATATCCCTAGCTGCATAAACAACTTTTTGATGTTGTTGCTTTGGGGCCACACCTGGTGGTGCTCAGGGGTTGCGCCTATCTCTGCACTCAGGAATCAGTCCTTGTGTGCTTAGGGGAACATATGGGATGCTGGGGATTGAACCTGGTTTGGCTGTGTGCAAGGCAGGTGCCCTACTCACTGTACTATCTCTCTGGTCCTGCCCCATAAACTTCTTACAAGAGCAAAAATTGTAAATTCCTGAGAAATTTGCCTTTATTCTGTTGGTTGAGAAAAACCCTGTAGGAAAGTGTTGGCTCTCTACGCATGGGTGACCCTAAGGAACAAAACAGTCATTATAATGAACTTTTTAGGTTAAGAAGAGATTGTCAAGATAGATCAGGAAATGCAATTTCAATTCAAGCACCATGAAATCTTGTCAAGCAAAAATAGTCTTTATTCAAATTTAATGGAAACAGGGGTCACTATACTTTTGCAAGACGGGGAAAAATAAAATTAAAAAAAATCTTTTCTTTTTTAATTTTAAATATAAAACAATATAATCACAATACCATACCAGAATATGGAACTCTACAGTTTATTTCCTAAGAGTTACTGCAGGTATAATTTTTCCTAGACTGTGCTATTCACAACTTTGTTAAGTCCCAAAATATGAAACCAAATTGGTTGGAAATTTAGGACTTAGCACTTTTACTAAATGGCATACATCAAAGGGGAACAATTCAAGGGCAAAAATGGCTGAACTCACCATACCTACCTATGTCATCATTCCAGCCGTAAAGCTGGCCAGGACGGGAGCTCCCTGCAGGAAGGCCAGGCTTGAACGCCCAGACATTTTGGATATTCTACTGTGGGCCATGAGTAAAGGGGGTTTCAGAGAAGATTGTTTTCAGTCGGGCAGGCAGGCCTGGTGCCAGGAGGCTTGACGAAGAGGAAGCACTTAGATTTAACAATTGGAGACACACCATTAGGGGAGTTAAAAATGTACAGCAGTGACATTTGTTCTACTTCGATCACTTGTGCTACGGCTACCAAACATGTACAAAAGACTTCTCGGGTAGTTCCAGCTGTGGTTGTAGCCAGTTAGGACCTCGAGTGGGACCTGGATCTCGACCGGGAGTGGGATCTGGATGCAGACCTGGATCTCGACTTGGACCGAGACTGGGTTTTTGAAGCAGACTTTGATCTGGAGCGTGATTCTGAGGGAGGGTTTGGTTTCGATTTGGAATTGGACCTGGACCTGGACCGGGTCTCCTGATTCGTGCCGGCATCCTCGCTCTCCCCGCGGCCTTCCCTGGGGCCAGACTCGGCCTTGACTCGTTCCCGCTCCTTGGACACGGAGCGAGACTGGGACCTGGACCGGGAGCGGTCCGTGTCTTCCTTCTTCTTTTTCTTGCTGCTGCTGCTGCTGCCGCCGCCCGACTTGCTGTCTCGCTTGCTGCTGCGTTTTCTGCTCCTCTCGCTCTTGCTGCGGCTGCGGCTGCGACTGCGGCTCTCCTCCCGGCTGCGCTTTCTTCCCTTCCTCTTGTCCCTGCTTTTGCTGCGACTCCTGCTCCTGCTCCCACCTCTGCTCCTGCTCCTGCGGAGGCCCTTCTCCTCGCTCCGACTCTTCTCCTTGCTCCGGCTCCTGCTCCCGCGCTTCTCCACCTCCGCTCTCCGCTCTGGGCTCCTGCTCCTGCTCTTACTCTTGCTCTTTAGTCTGCTGGGACTGCGGCTCTTGGACTTGCCGGCCTCGTCGCTGTTCTGGACCTTCTCTTCGGCCGGCTCCTTCCCCTTGCTGCGGGCCTTGTCTGCGCTGCGGCTGCGGCTGCGGCTCTTGTCCTTGCTGGGGCTCCTGCTCTTGACCTTCTTGCTGCGGCTGCGGCTGGGGCTGCGGCTGCGGCTCTTGCTCCGGGAAGATCTGAGGGGACACACGTACAGCAAAGTCAAGCAAAGTCAGATTTTATCTTCTCATGAGATGGAAAAACAGGGTAAGGAGAGACCAGGAGAGTGAGTAAAATCAAAGTGAACTGGGGAGGGGCCCCCGACCGACCCCACGCACAGCAAGCAGACCCACCTGGACCGGGATCTACTCTTAGAATGACTGCTCTTGCTGCTGCCGCTACGGCTTCTGCTCTTACGAGAATGTCTACTTCGAGATCGAGACCTAGAGGGAGAAAATATTTTTTGTGATATTTGCTGACAAAAACCTAGCTGAATGCTAAACTAAGACATTTAGCAGAGGAAGAGAGCATAAAATGATGTGCCACAGTCATACCGCTGGACCTGGAGCCAGGCTGTTCATTCCGGGCAACCTGGGGGGGGGGGGGCAGGTGAGGCCCTTTCCCGTCCCAGTGGGGTCAGCCCCAGCAGCTGAAAATCTCCAGAACTCATCACCGCTAGGCTCACGACCACTCTCCCATACACTGGGGCCGAGCCTCATCCATGAGTGAATCTATTCCTGACATCTCATACTTTATACCAATATTCCAAGAGTGGCCCACCACATTTGATGGGGTGTAAGACAGAAGGCAAGCAATCTTAGGGGGGAATATATTTTTACAGATATATACATACAATACGTAGGCTCAACTTTTAACATGTTACCAATCTCCATGTGGCTGGAGTGATAGCCCAGGGGTAGGGCGTTTGCCTCACATGCAGCGGGCCGGCCGCTCGATTCCTCCGCCCCTCTCGGAGAGCCTGGCTAGCTACCAAAAGTATCTCGCCCGCGCAAGCTACCCGTGACGTATTTGATATGCCAAACACAGTAACAACAAGTCTCAAAATGGAGACGTTACTGGGCCCGCTCGAGCAAATCGATGAACAACGTGACCAATCTCCACACACTTTTAAGAAACATTTTTGTCTCATTTTTAGTGGACTATTCATAACAAGCAATGCAAAATAAATTATTTTGATTCTGCTTTGAGGGCAGGGTTTGGGGTTCAGGATGGAAACATGGTGGTGGGATAAATGTAATCAAATATTGTGAACAACTTTATAAAAAAAAAGGCATTTAGCAGAAACCAGACCCTTCCTTAATTCTTTCCTATGTACTGATGATTCTGCCTCTTCAACTTTTCCAGAATATGCCCACTTCCCGCTGCTGCCCTCACCATCTCTTTCCTGGCATAATAAAATTACTCATAACTAACTTTCCCGAACACCGAGCTCATTCTCTTTTTAATTAGGGACCTTCAGTGGTGCTGAAAGGACCACGTGGTGCTGGGGATCAAACGTATACAAGAAAAATAATATACCACTTAGAGGACTCCTGGGTGAAAGTGACTGAATTCACGGGTAGTGCAGGAACAACAGAAGGAAGACCTAGAACAGCTCATTATGACAGAAATAGGGTAACACCAGAAGATCCTGGATCACTTTCAAGTACCATTGTGAAAAATATACTGCACCTCAATATCTACACTTAACTTTTAGTTTATAAAAAGTTTAGTGGAATGAAGTTCAAATACAATGTTTCCAAACAGGAAACACAAATTCTTAATATGGGATAGCATTGGAAAAAAAAAATCAATCATGGGGCTGGTGTAACAGTACAGCAAATAGGGCACCTGTCTTCATGCAGCTGTTGGAGCCCTGCCATCCCATATAGTCCCCTGAACACTGCCAGGAGTGATTCCTGAGCACAAAGGCAGGAATAACCCCTGAGCATTGCTGGGTGTGGTCCTCCCCCCAACACCAAAAATTGTCATGAGGGAGATAAGATAGAAGGTCTCTTAATAGTCTGAAAATATCTGATGGCCCCTTCCAATGTAGCCCAGGACTTACCCTAAACAGAAAAAGTGCAGCTACATGACATCCAATCAATTTTTGAGAAAATCTGTGTATGTCCTTACCTTTAAATGACTATATCTAATCGTTGTAGTTTTTTTTGTTTGTTTCTGTTTTTGGGCCACACCTGGTGATACTTCGGAGTGACCTTGGCTCTGCACTAAGGAATTACTCCTGGTGGTGCTCAGGGGACCATATGGGATGCAGGGAACTGCCCCATCTATCATATTCTCTCTCCAGCCCTTCATGTAGTTCTTAAGCCACAAGGTATGGTTATTTTCACTCTCAGATACGTACTTAAATATTCATTGAAAGGCAGATTGCAGAGAGAAAAAGATAAAGGGTAAGGGTTGTGGCTGAGCAGAGGGGCAGGAAGTGGAGAGCGAGTGCGTGTGAGAGTGCACCAACCATTGCTGCAGTTAGGAGGGTCTCCAGTTGTTTGTGAACTATTCTTACAAAAAAACAGAATGTCTATCCGGAGTGCAGGCGCATGCACTGAACATGAATCTGGTGGCTCTGCTGTACCAGGGATCTGTATGCCTCAATCTTAGGCATTGAGGTCGCAGCAAGCAATTTCCAGCTGTACAACAGTCAGCTGTATGTAATAAGCACTGCAACTAGAGGGGTGTGGCAACCAGGCAACCAAGCAAGCATCCACGTATGTGATGACTCTCTATTCACCCCCACACTATATCACAACAGAATCAACAAAAAGGAAAGAAACAAAAAGAGCAACTCATTGAAGCATTCTCCCCTTGGTACCAGGAACTGAATCCAGGCCTCATGTAAGCAAGGCACATAATTTACTGTTGAGCCACGTTTGGCAGTGATTTGGGGCACCATTTGGTGAAAGGGGAAATGAACCCAGGGGCTCCTGCAAGAAACACAGGAGCATCAGCCATTAACCCACCCTCCACACTTAAGGTTGTTAATGCTCATCTTCTCCACTAGATTTAAATTTCAGGCCAGCACCAACACGACTTGTTCACAAGGGCCTGGCCATCTGCAGAGCAGCAAACAAGACAAGGCGCCCACTGCTGGGTACCTGTAGCATAGAAACCCCTGCTCCTAACTTAAAAGCATAACTTGGGGACCTAGGAAGAAATGTGAGGGATGACTAGTCAGCAGGTTAGGTGCTTGCATGCCCTGTCCTGGGTTTCACTCCCATCACCTCATATGCTGCCCTGACATTGCTAGGAGTGATCCCTGACAGTAGAGCCAGAAGTAAGCTATGAGCACCGCTGGATGTAGAAAATAAAGCAGCAAAACACACACACACACCCCAACAACAAAAACCGTCCTTAAAACAACAACTATGAACTCACAGACCTCTCACTGAGTCCCAATATATAAAAACATCTGTAGTACCTTGAATGACTCCGGCTCCTGGAGTAGGACCGACGTCGTCTAGAACCCGGCTTGTCTTCCACTAGTCTGATTTTTCTGCCATTGACTTCAGTTCCGTCTAACTTTTCCAAAGCTCTTTTCATATCAGAGTAAGACACAAATTCAATCACTCCTTCATTTTTGCGTCCCTTGTGAGCATCTGCATAGGTCACTTCTCCTGCCTGACGCATATAGTCCTATGGAAAGAAAAAAAGGTCATGTTTTGTAAAATATCTAATGCCATCATACTAACAAAGTTTCCTTTCCATTAGGAAGAAACGATGGCTTTCCTCAGAATAGGGTTCTTTCTCAAACACATTCTTAAATAAATTCTTAAGTCTACACACCATTCACTAAGATCTGGTGAATGATAATTATTAAATTGTTCCTCTAAATAGACCTGGCATCAAATATGACCTGTCCCAAGTACTGAGTGATCCCTGAGCACTGAGCCAGGAGTAAGCCCTGAGCACAGCTAGGTGTGGCCCCAAAACAAATTTTTTTTTTTTTTGCTTTTTGGGTCACACCCGGCAATGCACAGGGGTTACTCCTGGCTCATGCACTCAGGAATTACTCCTGGCGGTGCTCAGGGGACCATATGAGATGCTGGGAATCGAACCTGTGTCAGCCATGTGCAAGGCAAACGCCCTACCCGCTGTGCTATCGCTCCAGCCCCTCAAAACAAATAAAAATTAAGTGTGACTCTAAAAACTTAGCTGACCATCAATTTTCTAAATTTTGTAGTTTGTTGCTTACAAAAGCTTAAAAGCTCACATCACTACATAAGTTAGGCCTTTTACACTTTATTATAAATCCTATATGAAAACTTGTATAGATACTAACATCTAAAGGCTATATGAAATTAGTACCAATTCTATTTAAAATTGCTGTCATCTTTTCTTTTTAAAATAAAGAGAAGACAAAAAATGTACATAATTTTTCATCTCCATCTTAAAAAGTGGTATGACCACTATCTTTTCATGAGCACTTTTTTGTTGTTTTTTATTTTTGTTTTTTTGAGTCACACATGGTGATGCACAGAGGTTACTCTTGGCTCTGCACTCAGGCCGCTGTGCTGTTGCTCCAGCCCCCTCATAACCACTTTTCTCTTTGAGAACTTAAAATGATCCAATGAGGATAAAACTGAAATATTACAAAGAAATTAAAGTGATATACAGACAAGACAGACACATTTAGTTTTGAGAAGAAATAGAAACTCGTATGACTTGAGAACTCAGGGGCTGGAAAGATCTCACTGGCTAGAACACTGGGATGCGGGAGGCCCAGGCCCGACTCCTTCACGGGCAGGTTCCTGAATGTGGCCCCAAACCAAACAAATTTAAAATTTACAGTTAAGTTCCCCACATTTTATTTTTTGTTATGGCAGAGCCTGGCAAGCTACCTATGGCATATTCGATATGCCAAAACCAGTAACAATAACGGGTCTCATTCCCCTGACCCCGAAAGAGCCTCCAATATGGCAGCATTGGGAAGACGAATAAGGAGAGGCTGCTAAAATCTCAGGGCTGGGACAAATGGAGACATTACTGATGCACACTTCAGTAAATGGATGAAAACAGGATGACAGTGACAGCGATACAGCTAAGTTCCCCACATTTTATTTGTTTTTGTTTTGGGGCCACTCCCAACAGTGCTCAAAGCTTTTCCTCTTCACTTTGCACAGGGAACACTCCTGATGGTGCTCAAAGGACCAGAAGCACTGTCAGGAATCTGGTTTGACCCTAAACAATGCAAGTGGCTGGCCTATGGTTTTCTCTCTCCAGCCCACTCCCACATTTCAGAAAAAAAAATTTGGCCACATTTAGCAAAATTCAAGAACTATTCCTGGCTCTGTGCTTAGAAGTCACTTGCGGTGGTGCTTCGAGTATCAGATTTGGTGCCAGGGATCAAACCTGAGTGAGCCACAGGTAAGTGTCTTAATTCCTGTGTGATTTCTCTGGTCTCAAGAGGCACAAAATATTTTACTTCATTTGCATAATATTTGCAGAATAAGAGTGGGGTTCGGAGTAAAAAGAGGGAGTTTGAACAATTTATCGATTCAAGCTGTGATACAGAACCCAGACACAGCTCAAAGTTGTGTGTGCATGCTTTGCCTGGCTGGAGATTAGGTTGACCAAACCTAATTGACCAAACACACTGGGAGTGACCTTTAAGTACCCAGATGGGAGTTGCTTTGAGCACCGCTGTGGTGGGCCTCAAACAAAAAAGGAGACATATGAGAATGAATGTGAATGCTATTAATAGTTTTCTCAAAGTGGAAATTGTCTTGGGCAAGTTGAGATGTATTATAACTCTGGTGAAAAGGCTTGACAAGTGGCACTAATTTAGCTCTATCCTAGCAGGATTCCAAATTAACAGCAACTGATGCTTCAAGTAATTCAGCCCTGATTACTGCCATTCACTATTTTACAGATGAGAAAAGTGAAATGTTAAGATGTTAAGTAAACTCACTTGAAGTGGCAACCGAAACCGAAACATATGCAGTCACACACCATCTTAATACGATCCCACGTACTATCACTAGTTGGCGAAACTACCAATTCTCAATGCCAACACAAGTATGTTTCTATTTCAGCCACTACTATGCAATTTTTTTCTTTTTTTTTTGCTTTTTGGGTCACACCTGGCGATGCTCAGGGGACCATATGGGATGCTGGGAATCGAACCCGGGTTGGCCACATGCAAGGCAAACGTCCTACCCACTGTGCTATTGCTCCAGCCCCCTACCCTTTTTTGGGTCACACTAGGTGATGCACAGGGGACCATATGGGATGCGAGGAATCGAACCCGGGTCAGTCACGTGCAAGGCAAACGCTCTACCCGCTGTTCAATCACTCCAGCCCCTACTATGCAATTTTGATCTTAATGCGATCATCACGTGGTACTATGAAATCATACATTTTGGTTGCTTTTTTTGGTTTATTTTGGGGCCACACCTGGTGGTGCTTGGAAGACCATATGGGGTGTGCCAGGGATCAAACCCTGGTCAGCTGTGTGCAAGGCAAGTGCCTTACTCCTTGTACTATCACTCTGGCTCTGTGTGTGTGTGTGTGTGTGTGTGTGTGTGTGTGTGTGTGTGTGTGTATGTGTGCCATATGCAGCAACCCTCAGGGATCAATCCTAGTAGTGCTCAGGGGGCCATAATGGGTGCCAGGGAATCAAGATGGGTCAGCTAGCATGCAAGGTCAGTGCCCTACCTACTGTACTATCTCTCCAGCCACAGATTTCGTTTATTTTTTTCATTAAAAAAATTTTTTTAAAAACATAAACATGTCATAAACAGTTTTATTATTTAAATCCAGGGAGCATGTTAACTTAAAAACAACAACAACAACAAAAAACTTGACTAACTGCCCACTCTTTCCTTCCTGTCCAACATTCCCACTGTTCATTCACAGGCTGAATGGAATTCCACCGTTCAAGTACCTAATCGCTTTCTTTCCTCTCTGGCGCAGATGAACTTGATTTGCCCACATGTATGAGTCACCTGATAACAAATTTCCCAGCTTAACGAGGTTTAAAGTTGCACAATTAGGACAGTAGCATTAGATTTCATACATTTTATTTATTTGTTTTCTGGAGTCACACCAGCGATGAATGCGAATGCTATTAATAGTTTCATTAATATAGATGCTCAGGGGCTACTCCTGGCTCTGCACTCAGGGATTACTCCTGGAGGTGCTTGGGGACCATATGGGATACCGGGGATCGAATCTGGGTTGGCTGCGTGCAAGGCAAATGCCCTACCAGCTGTACTATTGCTCCAGCCCAGATCTCATTAATTTTAAAATAAAATTTCTTAAATTTGTTTCAGTTGATTAATAACTGGTATTTATTGTGGCAGAAACTGTTCTAGACATTTCATTAAAAATGCATTTAATTTTCACAATAATCTTGAGTAGAGATAAATACTCTAACAGCTGAGGACTACATGAGGCAGAGGGAAAAAGCTGCTTGGTTTTGATAGAAAATCTGCTCTCAAGGTGAAGCGATAGCACAGTGGCTAGCATGCTTTCCATGCAACCAACCTGGGTTCAATCCCTGGCACCCCACATAATCTTCCAAATACGAACAGGAGTGATCCCTGACTGCAAAGCCAGGAGTGAACCCTGAGCACTGACAGGTGTAGCCCAAAAATCTAAGAGAAAGAAAGAAAAAAAAATTCTACTGTAGGGACTGAAGAGATAGCCCAATGGGCTTGAGTGGATGCTTTGCATGCAGATGACCCTGGTTAAGTCCCCACCATGACATGGTCTGAGCACCACCAAGAGTGACCAGCCCAAGGAGAGAGAATAAGAACTAGCCCATGAGCACTGCCAGGTGTGGCCCAAAAGCAGGAAAAGGAAAAAGTAAAAAGAAAAAAAAATCTATTCTATTCATACTCTCCAACGAATGAAACTCCCCAAAGTACAGAAGTATAAAACCAACAAGGACATTAACTAGACTCCATTTTAAGTTAAAAACTGAGAACTTTTCTAAGGGTTTAAGTACCCTTCCTTAAGTCCAACCCTTTCACTCCCAGGAGAGTGGAGTGAGTCCTTCTGTGAGTTCACTCTTGCCCGAAGGTAGTAGGACAGTACATGCTGTAAGTGCTGCTACAGTGCTGCCCTGACAAGCAGCACGGGGTACTAGGGAAAGCACCAGAAAGGAGTCAGGAGTCCTATCCCAGCACTTCCACTCGGATACCCATCTGAATTAACCCTTTCTGGATCTCATCTTTGTTATATGAAGGTTACTGAAAGCAAATTTGTAAAAGAAAAAAAAAAGATATAACAGGATTTTAATTAAAGTTACAATTACACAAATAGAAAAGATCTCTTTTTTCATGTCAGTGGTGCTGGGAGCTACTCCTGGCTTAGTGTTTGGGAAACCATGTGGCACCAGGCGTTGAAGACAAAGTTCCAGCATGCAAAGCAGACACTCCGACCTTTTGAGCTACTAACTTTTTGCTAAACCTAAATGTACTCACTCCCTGTGCTCCAGCTTAATGTTCTAAAACTGACTTTTCACATCTGTCCTTCTAAAACATTCAGATTACGACAGTATTCAATAAGTTTTTTTGTCTTTGAGCCATACCCAATGGCACTGAGGGGCTGCTACTGCCCAGTACTCGCTCCCAGCAATGCTGGGGTGGGGGCGGGGAAGGCACCATGTGGTGCTAGAGCTGGACTCCACCATACCAAGCATGCGCTAAAGCCTTTGGAGTTACTATCCCAGTTTATTTAGATTACTCTACCCTATTAAGATTAAAAACTAAAATCCAGTGTGTGAGAGGTAGTACAGTGGGTAAGACACTGCCTCGCATGCAATCCCCCGAGCCCTCCAAGGTGATCCCTGAGTGCAGAGTCAGGAGCAAGCCCTGAACACTGCCGGGTGTAGCCCAAATACAAAAAAAGTGTGTTGGGGGACTGGAGCGACAGCACAGCGTGTAGGGCATTTGCCTTGCACGCGGTCAATCCAGGTTCGATTCCCAGCATCCCATATGGTCCCCTGAGCACCGCAGTGTGTTGGTCCAACAGATACAGAAGTAGTAAGATATCTTAGATTCTATGAAATCTTTCATTTCCCAAATGCTCTGGGAAAGCTTTCAAACAGGAACACCAATACATTCCATGTGTCGGTGGGACTGTCTGGTTACCTCCTTTTCCACCTTAACTCCCACCCAACTTTATGCTGCAAGGTCAATCGGGTCCTAACCTTTAGGTCTTGCCAGCTGCATCGACTTGACAAATTCTCCACAATAAGCCTGTATTCTGTGCGGGTAGGAGGGCCATATTTATCTCGGCCACTTCTTCTATAACCATATCCACCTTTGGAAGGTTCAAATGAACAAGATTACCTCAGCGGAGGAAAAGGAAATAAATGACTATACATATTCCCCTTAAGTATACAAATACCCCCACCCACATATTACATATATACAGAATATTACATATAAATTCTATTCCCACCCTCACTTCTAAACTATTTTAACAAATAAAAATCAACCAGCTAAAGATGAAAATTTAATTTACAAAGTTGTACGTTTATGTATTCATTAATATTTATAAAATTAACATGCATAAATTAAAAACTATCAACAATTTGACAATACATAACCAAATTACTAAATCAGTATCTGATGTTACTCACAGTGATTTAAGTTTTTGTGAATATTTTATACGAAAAAAGATTTTCAGGCACTTATTTCGGTTTAATCTCATCTGTGTCTAACCCTTGGGATCCTCACCACCCAGGTCTAATGGGGAAAGGTTGCGGTCGTCACATGGCTTCCTGTTTTTGGTCAGCCAAGGGCCACAATGGTTCAAAGAGCCACGCATGGAAAGGTAACCCAGGGTCAGCATATGGAACAGGCAGTCATCTTAGCCTCAAAGGATTCTCTTATTTAAAACACTGAGGTCTTTGTTAAATCTATGTTAAACAATTGCATTATAGAGAAAAGAAAAACAACACAAACACACATCATTAAACATATTTATATAGTATTAAGACAAGAAATTTATGCTATTAAAATTAAAGATATTATCAAAGATGTTTATTTGCAATTTTATATTTAAAAAGATACATAACTTATAAAAAACAAATGAGTTCATATAAATACATTTCACTGTAACATTAATCAATTATTAAAAATTAACATTTAAGAACAAAAGAATGTCACTGATACAAATGTCCTTTAAATGCTTACTGCGTCCAGAACCGTAACTGCCATCTCGACGTGGGCCTCGGGCATGCTCAACAATTACTCGCTCACCACAAAGATCTTTGCCATTCAGTTCATAAACAGCATCATCTGCATCACGCAGATCATCAAACTCCACAAAACCATATCTAGAAAAAAGCAAACAAACCCTTGTTGGCACAACTTGACACCTAGCTTCACAAACATTAAAGAGAAAGCAATGAGGTTCATGCTTAGCAAAGGTTAGGTGGGTTTTGCAAACTAAGGATCAGTATTTTTCTTCCCTTTAGCTGAAACCACTTGATTTTGTGCCAAAGGGCACTGCAAGAGGAGAGGGAAACTTCTCAAGGTAAACCCCTGACTTCCTAGTAGTAGGAGGCTGGATGACTGAAAAAGACCACTACTTTGTTCCCCAAGTAGTTGGTGGCAACTACAAAGACCTCTACAGGGATGTCTGGTATAAGGCATGAAAATATAGAATTCTACAAAACTGAGGATCTTCTCTTTTGTAGTCACATTAAAAAACTCATCTTCTTAAGCTTTAGACCAAAATGATGTCTTAAGAAAACCATCAGTGTCTTATCTGCTAAAATATGTTTGGAACATTGTATCAGAAAAAAAAATCAAAATACTTTAAATCTAGGTGAAAGAATTTTTTAAAACTTCCGGTTCCTCTACCTCATCAAATTAGTCACAGTGTATTAACTGTTCTAGAAATAATCAGTGTTAAAAAAAGGATCTATTCACTTTCCCATCATGATATTCCAAGTTCATTTCCATGAGGTTTTAGGCAGACCGAGCTCTCTAAATTTTAAGAGTAACGGCATAAACCTCTTTACATAGTAGTACTCTGAATTTCCCAGTTAAAGAGGTTTGGTGGCTTAACACAGTAAACAATATCTGAAAGAAACCCTCCACCCAATCCGATTAAAGATCAAAACTCATAAAACTGAAGTGAGAAATTTGTAAGGTACTTATAAGCAAGGTTAAACAAATATCCTGTAAATGGTGTTATCAATAAAGGTTTAGTTTGGTCTAACATAAGCTATAAAAAGTATAGCTTCCTGACCACTGCTCATAAAAACCGAAAACATCTTAATGGTCATACTTTGAACAGAATTAAGAGTTACACTCAATGTCTTTAAACCAAAAAAGTTGTGTACATAGGCAAACACTGGTTAGCATTTCCCATGTGTTTAAACACATTGGGACTAATTAAAAAGAGGTACAAGATTTGCCACAAGTTTGTCCAACCTGACAGAAAAAAATTTCCAGTTTGATTTGCATGTAATGCTGCATTCAGCAACATGGCAAGTGACAGAACACAGAATTCTGGAATTCTTCCTTTACCAAAAACTTCCTACAAACAGGGTCAAGTGTACAACTAAACAACTTTGGATGTTTCATTTAGCTGAAATGTCTATGACTGGCATTCAAACTTGAAGTCACTCAGTTGGAATGCCATTAAAAACCTAATGGACACACCTAGTTGTTTAATGGGAGATACAACAAAACAATTCAGAAACCACCTGGCTCAATTAATGGGCCATGGAGTCTTCAACTACGGTTTTATACTCCCACAGGCCGGAAAACTGCTACGCAGCTTAAAATCCCAGAGTGAATGAAAATATCTGAAATCTAATTGTATATGCCTTTGTTCCCTTTTCTTGGAGAGTGGGTCATCAGAAAAACTATACTAACATTTCTAGAGACAAAATTCAATTAAAAAGTAAACCGATCATAAGAAAAAAAATTTTTTCAAGGAAAAACTGAGATGTCAATGGTATTGGGTCTGTTTTGCCCAGAGTGCCACTGCTCTTGACCTTCTTTGAGAGACTGATGCTAAGCAGAGGGATGAGAGAACCTTTCTAGTGGGCTCCACCCCCTTCTGAGAGTGACACACTGCTTGGGCACCTTTCAATAACCCAAATTTGTCTAGAGGGATGTCAGTCAGAAGGGAGTGCTGACTCCTACAGACTGAACAAATCAAAAGCACATCCAGTTTTCTTCAAAATAATTACGTTGCACAACCACTCATTCAGGGGATCAGAGAATATAAGACCCTAAGCTCTGGAAGTCATATGAAAAATAAAGCCAAATTTTTTTTTTTTTTTTTAAATTTTGGGCGACATCCCATGGTGCTCAGGGTATACACTGGCTCTGTGCTCAGGGATCACTCCTGGTGCGGCTTGAGGGACCATATGGGGTTCTGGGAGGCAAACCCTGGTCACCCACACACATCCTACCCACTATACTATTTCTCCAGCCCCCAAATTTTATTAATGATAAATGATGCTATGTGAGTGCTATGTGGTAATGTATTCCCCAGACTCAAGGGTCACCCTGGGTCAGGCTCCTTCTGTTGCAGGGTTTATATGCAGACCTCACAGACCTTTCAGGGCAACTATGGCAGTCTGTTAAGTAGAGGCACAATTTTTTAAAACAAAATGTAATGCTCAGACAGATGAATGTTTCTTTGCAGGCTGGAACAAGGAATATCTTGCCAGTAAAATTCATCCCTGAATTGTAGGGAACAAAAGGCAAAAAGGAGATGGTTCCCTAATAGTATTTCCTCAATCTTCTAAAAAGTCCCAACAAACAGATCACATCAGTAGCCACATTTATGGGACATCCAAGTCAATCCCTTATTCAAATATCTAACATGAGATAATTTCTCAGGAAAAAAAAATTGGCTACTACTTTGTAAAACATCATAGAATTTATATGGAACTGTTTAGTGTCAAAGTCCAGTCCAAAAAGTAAATGAGGTATCTGCCTTCCACTGCTATCTACCACTGACCTGTGGGTGGGTGCTCAACATACTTGATAGAACTTCTGTTCGGAGAGCAAAGAAAAGACCAGATCAGAGTGGCTATTTTTACCACATTACTGTTTATTTTGTATCTATTTTACTAAAAGAATTTTGTTTCATTCAGTAAAGAGAGTGAACAGTCCTCCAAATAAAGGCCAGAGGACTAGATAATAAAGTTACTTAAAGTAATTCATTAGGAAATCTCTCTCATTAGATCAATTGTTATCTTACTGATTATTCACAGTAACACCAAAGAAGGGATTTTTCTTGTGTTACAGCTGAGGAAGTTGAGAAATGGAGTTAAATAACTTCCATAATAAGGAGCAGTGCTGGCATTCAAAGCCTGTGGCCTGACTCCAGAGCTCAACCATGTATCTACGACTGGAGCACAGCAGCAAGTTAGAGAGCAACCTGGGTCCTAGATTTGGTTCTGCTATCAACCAACCTGGAAGAACATATTCAAGATACCTGATTTCTCTGGATTTTAGTTAATTTGTGAAAGGAGCGACACTGCAAATCTAGTTCTTGAGTAGGGTACATAATATGAAATAAGTATGCCTCTGGCTTAACAATGGAGGAACTTAAATAAAAATAGCAGTACCACAGGCATATACAACTGTGACAAGTGGATAGGGATGAATGTAATATTTTTATCATCTAAAAATGAAACAATTGGCATGGGTTCTCATTTTAGTTTTAAACATCTGAACTACAGATTTAAATTTTAGTGCCTTCAACAAAGTAAAGCAGTCCTTGCTAATATGAGACCTTTTATCCCTTTTAGATCAGCAGCTTATAACTAACCCCCAAATCACTCCTTTGTCCAAAAAAAGCACTTTCCTTTAAATCATCTGTAAAAGTAGGGATGAATATGAAATATACACATGCATGTACATACACTATTGTGCCAGTATGTCTGCATAGTTCTGGTGTGACCGAAGAATAAGCCTCCCAAACCTATTCAAAAACACATTTCTTAATTCTACCTGCAGATACCCTGCATTTCTGCTCTATTAAAAACAAAGAGCATCTTTCAATAATTCCAGCATGAGAATGAAAAGGATGAAGAAATTTAGAAGAATGAATCTATGACAAATTGAAAAATCCCCCTTACAGGAATTCTTAAAACAAAAATTGCCCCAATATGCTTCCTCTAGTCCAACTTCCTTTAGTCCTTATGTCACCTCTTTCCCCTCTATGCCTATGTGAAAGAGCAAAAAGTGGGGCCCAATAAATGAGCATTTTTCTTTAAATGTACATTTTGTTATTAAAAGAAAAATTCTCTTTTCAATACTCCTTCACTACTCCCTTTCCCAAAAGTTTTCTTGGGGTCATGTTTTACCCTAATGAGTTTAGTCAAAAAAGAAGGGAATTACTATCATTTTTTTCCTTCAAAAAGAAAAAAATAGGGGGCAGGGAGGTGGGCACCACAACTTTTACCAAGTATAGGTAGGAATTTGGACACTACAACATAAGCCACAATCAATTATGTAGGCTGTTCTAAACTTTGTCCATTCCTATAGAACTGTCAGTGCTTTAGTCTTCCTTCTAACAAATTATGTATTGCTCAGGCTAACAGACAAACGCTGAAAAGCCACAGCTGGAATGACATGTTTTTTAAAAAAACTAAGCTACTACAAGACTTTAACTGTAGAAAAGTTAATCACATCTTTTTTCACTAAAGAATTACCACGTATTGTATTTTTGTTAGGCTTTCCTTGGATCCCAAGGAACCTATCAATTGTGCCAATGGTCCAAAATATCACTGTGTTCTTCTACTGAAGAGAATGAGGCGTTTCTCTTACCCTTTACAGAATGGCTTAGAGTCACCTCCAAATATCTTCACTGAATAGGTAGCCTGGAGAAAAGGCCTCCGAGAAAAACGAGGAGCACCCCTTGCTCTGGAGATATGCTCAAAAACAGTTCGCTGGGTGGGGCATGATGATGGGGTGCCTGGCACCAGCTAACTGGGGGAGTGGATATGAGGAGCAAGGGGAAAGCAAGCCTCCATGCGTGTGCCTGCAGTCACCCACCAACACTGCTTACCGAGGGGCATGCCTTGGACGTTCTTTCTATAAGAGAAATGTGCCCCTTTCCACAGTGGATCTCTGCTCACCTTTGTCCTAAAACTGTGCCACATGCTTTTCTTTGTATGTGGACATGACAGTCCTCAGCCAACCATCAGCAGGATGTGAGTTTTGTTTTCCCAATGTGGTGAGCCATTCCCACATTCACTCATTTTCCTTGTAAGAACCGAACCTCTCCATGGCTGGTCAGGATTAGGGATGTTGCTGTAGCCAAGGAAAAATTTTCATCTGTTGAAGTTAACCCATGGGG